AAAATCATACTTTGCCGACAATTACTATTGTAATGAGTTCGATCAATAAGTACTGAACCTTGTGACTTTATTTAATAAAAATAAAGTTAAGCTTTATAAAGAATGTACACGTATACATGTGTGTATGTAAACACATGCACACCCATACATACGGATACACATAAGGGATGCTTCGAAAGAAATTCGCTTACTTGTTTCTATGGTAACTACAGTAAATGTAGACAGCAGCAGGATAACTTTGGATAGAGCATGTTTTCAGCTGCAAAATTCTATTATTTTATATTATGTACTTTCGAAGGATCTTCAATTCGGAGGTTGAGAGTCGAATGTGGCTTGTTTCACACATCACAGAAACACATTAGCTGTTTCTATTGACATACACTGGTTTTGGTAAACGTTCAGCAAGCTTTGTTTAATATCATTGAGTGGAATTCTTCCAGAATGGAGGTATTAAATGATACGCCTCTATTTCCTATGCCCTTTCATGTCAGACGCCATTTTGCCACACTTATATCTGTTACAAGACAAAAAATAATATTTATTAGGAATGTTAAACTATAATGCCATACGACCAACATCTTCTAAAATTGTGTTCCAACGTAATAGAATATTAGTGACTCTCGTGTGCGGTCTCGTAATTTCACTGTAAAAATTGATTAAGTGTAACATCAATCGACATCTTCTGTCTCCTTCTATCCTGTTCTTTTATTCTACTCTCTCGGTTTCTTTCAATCTCAGTAACCCCTTAGTGCCTTTTACTAACGTGCTTAGGGTAAAATGACTTTTACTAACGTGCTTATGGTAAAATGACTTTATAAAAACAGATAGATAGTATTGTGCTGGTAGGTATGTGCTTATCTATTTCAAATAAAAACGAAAACAAAGTTCGAACTTTTATACAATGTATTTACTATTGGATAACAATAGTTATAAACCATGACCAATGATTACTGATACATTGATAGTTCGATACGTGAAGAGGGGTGACCGCCATCTTGAAAATCCTTTTCTTATCTTTGTTTTCCTACTGAGTTTCTATAAAGGGACATAACTTAATTCCAATTTATAGAGCGAGGTAGATTCCTTGTTATGACGTCGGTCTTCATAGATTAGATAGATCTATCTGGTTCTGGTCTTCACAATGGTTTGAATCGAATCCTTTACTGAGTTTAGTTACAGATTTCAAAAGGTTTCTAAAATGTTCTCAACCCGACCCACTTCCAAAACATGACTAAATGAACCATTGCTAGAATTTATTTTAGAAATACTTCGTGGACCAAGAAATCATTTAACCATTTCAAATTTGCCTTGTTCATTCTCTATGAAATGTTTTATTTAATTTTATTTCCTGGAATTAGTTTATGGAAAAATTAATGTAAAAAAATTATTATTTGTATTTTTACCGAAATCAGTGTTCTGTTATTCTAATGAGAAAACGTCAACTACACACACACACACACACATATATATATATATATGTGTATGGTGGTTTCATTTTTATACATAGCTAAATATGAATATAGATTAGTAATGAAATAAATAAGAAACAAAAATTTATTATTGCATTTCAAGAATTTTATATCATTTTAATTTAAGAACGCTGTTTTTTATGTTAACGTAAATTATGAGAACAATTCCTCACCAACCCAAAAAAGAAATTATGTAAAGTATTTACAAACATATTTCTTGCCCTGGTTGCATTTAACAGTACTTGTTTTAATATATTATATATATATATATATATATATATATATATATATATATATATATATATACATTTGTATGGATATGAGTTTGTGACTCTAGAACTGAATGTGTTAGCACTTTCCGATAAGTACTGCGCATATAAAATAATTAAAATAATCTATACAGAATATATATATATATATATATATATATATATATATATATATATATATATATATATATATATATATATATATAAATAATAGGAAAAAAAACGTTCAGATTTATGATCCAGAGTACTTCAGCAATTGTTTTTATTTAAAAAAGTAGAGCATAATATTAAAATAATTATTATTTTTTTTGGGGGAGACATTTATAAAAAACTAATTATATATATATATATATATATATATATATATATATATATATATATATGTGTGTGTGTGTGTGTGTGTGTGAACATAGAAGTCAACACTTTCTGTTTCCTGCTAGATGCAATCTTCAGGCCTGACGATTGCATCTAGCATGAAACAGACTGTCGCCTCTAAGTGTTGACTTCTATGTTCACTTTTATATTTACACACGCTCTTTCTCTGATATTAAGCACTTCATCCCATAAATATAGCACGCCTAAGACTATATTTCTTCATATATATATATATATATATATATATATATATATATATATATATATATATATATATATATATATATATAATTTGGAGATTAAACAAAATCTCCGGATGAATATATATATATATCCCGGTTAGGTGGGTTAAAGTATAATAGATATTATATACTGAATACTGAGAAAAGTGGAATCCACAATTAAATAATAATCTTAAACACTTCTAAAATCTTTTAAATGCAACTTATGTATATTATTATATATGTCAAAATATGGTAATGCTTGAATTATTTATTCAATCACTAAACCATATACTTTATCTTTATTTGGTCATCAATTATCGATGAGCTGCCAACTGCATTAATATGTGGGTTTGTTTCTGTATTGGACATAGTTTTGGTAATCAATATGCGCGTCATGTCTTCGGAGAGTTAATTTTAAATGTCGTTCCAGATCAGCCAGCCTTTTCTAAATTTCTCAGCTTCCCCTCTCCGTGTTTTCTTATTCCCTTCCTCAAACTTGACCCCAATTGAGTTTGACACGAGTAACCTTAAAGGAAATCGGGAGAGACAGTTTGCTTAACAGGTCCATGTCCGAAGACCAAATCCAATTGTCTTTCCAGTGGGTTGGCACTGATTGGTTAACTGCGAATGAAATAGGGGAAAAGTCGACGGTAAGCGGAGTCGAGAATACCAGGTGAAAATTGGGCAAACGTATAGGGTTTAAGCGGGAAATTCAGTTAGACGCAAGGAAATATTTCTATCCTTGTCTTCAGCTTTTCTTTACCTAACCATAATATTTTTTTTACGATTTTTTTAAAATTTTGCACTCTGAAAAGAAAGTAATAAAACTGAATCTGTCTAAATTTCTGAAAGGAAACACTTTTACTATAATTCTGGACGAACATTGTCATCCTCATTTTTTTTATTACGGTGTTCTGGATAATCTATCTTTTGTCTTTATATTATAATTTTTCAAATATAGCTATCACACACAGACACACACACACTATATATATATATATATATATATATATATATATATATATACATATATATATATTATAAGTTAATTGATTGAAAATATTTTTCGCTACACAGTAATATTTCAAAGATGGAAGCTATACACTTTAAATTTAATTATATAATTAAATTAAAGCATTAGTTCCGTTTCATCTTTTAAGGGAAACAAATAAGTTATTGCAATATTCGCTTGAAGATGAAACGGAACTAATGCTTTTTAATTTAATTATATAATGAAAATTAAAGTTTTTAGCTTCCATTTTTGAAACATGGTTATTACTGTGTAGCGAAAACACCATATTTTCAATCAGTTAATTTAATATATATATATATATATATATATATATATATATATATATATATATATATATGGGTAAAAGGTTATAAAAGAGAGAAACAGCAAACTTTTCTGGTTATAATGTGGATTTCTTTTATTGTATATACTATATATTATTCTTCATATTTCTACTACACGAGTTTCCTGTCTCATGACCTTCTTCAGGCAAATAAAAGGAATCAATATTAAAAGGAATAAATTCTGTTCTTTTAATGTTTCTTTGTTCGTTTTCTGTATTTGTAGTGAACATTCATTTCTGCACTGTTATCAAAAGTTTCTGCCTAAGTGGTAATAAAATCATTAGATTTGATCTGAATAGTGGTTTATGATAGATGTGTTGATGAGAGATGTTTTCATATACCTACATTACACTTGAGATTATCAAATCTATTTCCATTTTTGTGTACCGCCTGTGTCCCTGTTAGCTTGCGTATGTATAAGTATATTACATCCCCATATATACATACTGTCTTATAAAAAGGAATCAGCATGCGCATATATATATATATATATATATATATATATATATATAAACACTTTTACCAACAGTCCAGAAATGAGATCAAGGCTCACTGCAAATACAGAAAACGAACAATGAAACATTAAAAAAAACATAAGGAAAATTTATTTCTTTAAAAATTGATTCCATTTATTTGTCTGAAAAAGGTCAGGAGACCGGAAGCACGTGTAGCAGGAAATATGAAGCATAAAATATAATATATGCACTAAAACAAATCCACATTATAACGAAATACTTTTACGTTTTCTCTCATTATATATATATATATATATATATATATATATATAAAAGAAATTTACTGATATTTTACATTGAGCACTGGTTTTCGTACGCTATAGAATATTTACATGTAATTATATATGATTTTTTCTTGTATACCTATATATATTTACCCATTCGTTTATATATATATATATATATATATATATATATATATATATATATATATATATATATATGATTGTGAACATTGAAGTCAACACTCAGAAGCGACAGGCTGTTTCATGCTAGGCGCAGTCGTCAAGCGGCCTGACGATTGCGCCTAGCATGAAACAGCCTGTCGCCTCTTTGTGTTGACTTCAATGTTCACTTTTCTATTTATACTTATATACGCCCTATCTCTGATTTTGAGCACTTTATCCCATGAATATAACACACCTTAATACTATATATATATATATATATATATATTATATTTTTGCACGCTATACAACTAACTTAATGTCAAAATCTGCTTGCGTTCTCTGCACCAAGGAATAAAACACACATGCCTGCATCACATTATTAGATAGCTAAAGAGAGGGAGACTGAGAGAAAGAAAGAGAGAGAGCGTCGAACAAAAATAGATAGATATATAGATAGAAACAACGTTAGAAAGATAGGGCCAGACTGTAATAGATAGATAGATAGATAGATAGATAGATAGATAGATAGATATCCCTCAGCTATAGTCGAAATAGTAGGGTAGAATGAATTCTTCAGCTTTGATTGCCAAGTAATCTAAGGGAAGTTCAACTCTGATTTTAAATGTAACTACGGTTAAAACTCCCAGCAGCCATCTTGATCACTGTGGTTACTGGATTATGTAATTTGATGGTTAGAGAATCGTGTTCATGTTGCATATGCCTCTACCTTTCCAATCCCTCTCGAGTAAAGGTCCTTTCTGACAAAAAAAAGCCAAGCAATGGCTAATATAAGAAAGGTTTTATACTTGAAAGTGAGTCGTCATCCATTGCATATGTTATTTTTAAATATATTTAAAGAGAAATGCAAAAACTAAAGGAACTTACTGATAAGTCCAAAATACAACTGTCTGTTACATCCAGGGGGGTTAACCTCTAGATCTTTTTTTTAATAAAGAAATTAATAGGTGAAATATGGAGCATCTGGAGGCAACACTAAGATTTTGCGACGACCTCTAGTGAACGAAAGAAAAAACCGACGCTTGCTGATGTCTGCTTGTGGGTGAATTATTCGTAGGAAAAAAAAATAAGAAGTAATGTCGTGATAAAGTCGTTTAGAGCAATATGATACCATTAATGAAATGGTTGGAAACGATGATGACATTCCCTTTCATCATAATAATCGATTCAATCATGTGAATGTCTGATTCCTTTCTACGTAATAGAGAAAGCAATGGGGATTTTGCAGATTTTGAAATAACAGTAAAACGTTTTGTTGAATTTATTACTTTCTAATTTTGTTATTTTCAGCTTTTTACATTCAGAACAATATACGGATATTGAAATTATCAGAGTGAATTTTGTTGAAATATACTGTGTTACGTGTTGATAATTGTAACAAAGGAAAAAAATGATTTACCACAACACAGAGCTAAATCACAAACAAATATTTAATTTACTAAAACAGAACATAAAATATATACAGGATAAACAAATGTGGCCTACAAAACAGAAAACACAGAGTTACTGGCGAAGTGTTACGAGGGAGAAGGAAAGGGAGTCAAATATCTTTATCACTTTTTAGGGCTAGTGAAGTAATCTAAGTGCTATATTTGGAAATCCACTAAGGTGTGTAAATAAATATTAATTTTTAGTTCGGTCAATGAAAATTAGTCAAAATTCCATTTACCAAATTTGTTCCATGAAATTCTCTTTTGGGTTTTGGTTGATCGGCAACTTTTTATAGAGATTCTTTCGGCTGGATATAAAAGTCCTTGAATCAAAAGCCGGAGTTGATACATGCAACAATTTCCTTTCACCAACTGACAACCCTTTTCCAAAATCCCTAAGTTGCATATTTCTAGATGTTTCTCGAATCCTCTAGATTTTTCTCGAATATACTAGAATGATCTAGAATCTTCGAAACATTCTATTTCTAATTTCTCTATTTTACAACTACTTAATGAATGAAAACTTTTTTGTAATAACAAGTAGAACTCAGTGGAATCCCTTATTATAGAAATGCATCCTCGTAACAACTGTAAGCATTTTGTTAATGTTTAGGCATTATTGCCGATTTTTTTTCAATTCCCCCAGAAGTACTTAAAAAGATCTGTATTTATTGAAATTTAGGGAAGGGCTTCAAGTTGCCGTTAAACGCTGTAGGCAGTCTGTTTCACAAGTGGTCTTGGTCAGTTTCAAAGGTTAAGTAGGCTACTTAAGAGTGGACATTTCTTATTTCGATTATTCAGTCAGTAAAATTTTGGACATCGACCGATACGATGGGCCACTTGCCAACAATTCGCAAATCACGAATGAATTAGTTATATATGTATATAAATGCAAAGTTGCGAATTCCTGTAGCATCTATGTTTATTAGTACGAGTACTGACGAACAGTTTTCAAATGTAGGTGTTTTTTACACTCTACAGGCAGGAAACCAACTTACCTTATATAGACATATTTAGTAAACATTATACATATATATATTAAACATTTCTTGTTAAATTAATCCGATATGATCTATTTTATTTTTACTGTATTTTGCTAATTTTTTTAATATGTTATTGTAGATTTTAATCAAATTTATCGATAAGTTGTTCTACATCTAAATAAAACGTTTCCGAAGTTTGTTTTTGATTCAGTACTTTCAACCAGTCATTATGAAGAATTCAATATTTTTTGTATGGTACACAAGATTTTTTTGCATATATTCTCGTGTTTTAGAAACGCTACATTTCGAAATATACGTGTATATTATTAATAACGTTCTGTATATAATACTTTTACAAAGATTGATCGCCTCAGAAAAACAAGGTGTAAAATATTCTTATTTATTATTATTATTATTATTATTATTATTATTGTTGTTGTTGTTGTTGTTGTTGTAGAGTCCTTCTTCTAATGAGGTTATTGTGGACTCTTCTACTTACTATAAGATTAGTACAAAATGTAAGTGATATACACTGAACGCTGGTCAACCAACACACATTCCCAAGTCGTGTAACACACTTCCGTTGTATTTACTGTTCAATACACTATTGATCTGCAACCTCTTCTTTTGTTATTTCTTAACCAATTACTTGCTCACAACAATTATTAATAATAATAGATGCGAATTTTAAATATATATACACAATTTTAAAATGCAGTCTCCTATGGTATGATATTTTTCATGTGCTAAGATTTAATCTGGCTCAAGACCCAAGTAAATGCCTGATGATGAAGATTGTGTTGCATCACTGTTTTCATCAGTAATAGATTGCCTGAGTTTCTTAAAATCATGCTTTTAACTTGTGCTCAAACATCGAACGTTAAAAGAAAATATATATCAATATCAATTTTATCAGAGAATCATAAGGGCATATTTAGTAGACGCAAAGACTGCGTTGAGTTAATAGCTATCAGATTTATGCGTTGAAATGTTAGTACAGTGTATCCCGGATATAAGAGAGTTGTCGGGACCGGAGAAGAAGTCTCTTATATCCGGGTTTCTCTTATATCCGGGTTTGGTCTATTTTATATACATTAACACAGGCTCTAATTTGAGACCAGGGAAAATCTCTCTTATATCCGTGTTTCTCTTATACCCGGGTCTCTTATATCCGGGTTACACTGTATTCGAAACGAATGTCTTTACTTGTGCTCGAAACCCCAACTTTCTACATCGATATTAAATAAGCAGTGATATCAGCTGGTTGGCACAATCACGAAATATCGTGTTGATTAAGTTTTGATGATTTTGAAGAGGGAAGTTATTAATGTCAATATCACAGAAGAACTAATCTATTTTTTGCTTAAATTTTCTGATGTCTTCTGAAATTAATATCTTTTAGTGTAGCAGTTTCATACACAGTTCATTCTACGGTTCGCCAATTTCAGAATTGTCTGTCTATATTCAGGCTAGAACATCGTGGGGAGATGAGCATTTTATGTACCATGAGTTTGATAATAATAAAAAAAAAATAATGAGAAAATATTACTTGGATACAACGCAACATTTTCTTTTTTTTTTGTTTTTTTTGGCTTTAATTTCTTTGAGATCCGCTCCGTTTTCCGTTTTTGTGTTTTATACGTTTGAGAAAGAAAGGCGGGATGATCAAGTCTGTCAGAGAATGACGGTAGAAGAGGAAATATGGGAAATTCTCGAGAATGGACAAGAGGAATAAAAGCCATTGGAAACCAGTGTAACATTCATAGCGAAAGAAGATAATCTGGAATAGTTATGAGGGGTCAAGTGGAAGAACGTGTATGAAATATTCGTGGACAGGAGAGGTAAGGTGGATTTCTTTATAAGCGTTGATGAAAATGTGGAGAAGATACTAAGTGTGAATAGACAAATGAGAAGTAAGAAATTGAGCTACGTAAAGGGAATCAGACAGTTATGTGTCATGCGTGAGACACGCTTAGGCGATTATGTATCTTTCGATATATGACTGATTTTTTCACGCAGTAGGTTGCCATTTCTTTCTATAGTAGACCAATTACCACCCAAGACTATAGAACCCGATCTGTCCTGCTATTTACCCATAACTTCCGAGCAATGTTAAATCAATTATGTGCCATGCGTGATACATGCTTAGGTGATCATGTATCTTTTGATACATGACTGACGAGGCAGATATATTCCTGCAGTAGGTTGTCATTTCTTTCTCCGGTAGACCAGTTGTCATCCAAGGCTATAGAACCCGGTCTGTCCTGCTATTTACCCATAGCTTCCGAGCAATGTTAAGTCAGTTATGTGCCATGCGTCATACACGCTTAGGCGATCATGTATCTTTCAATACATGACTGACGAGACAGATATATTCCTGCAGTAGGTTGTCATTTCTTTCTCCGGTAGACCAGTTGTCATCCAAGGCTATAGAACCCGGTCTGTCCTGCTATTTACCCATAGCTTTCAGGCAATGTTACGTCAGTTATGTGCCATGCGTGATACATGCTTAGGCGATCATGTATCTTTCGATATATGACTAACGAGGCAGTTTTTTTTTCCCGCAGTAGGTTGCTCCTTCTTTATGAGGTAGACCAGTTGCTATCCAAGGCTATAGAACCCGGTCTGTCCTGCTATTTACCAATAGCTGGGGGAAGAAGAGGAGGGTTCCCAAGGGTATTCCAATTCCTAAATCCGAGCCGCTATCCATTACTCCACCGTGCCTCCTACGACCATATCACCTTGAACAAACTGATCTGCGAAGTTTCAATGAGTGAGATACAGATAAATATGAGTTATTATCAGTTGCATAAATTGACTACCGATTCATTTATCTAAATTAAAAAATCAGACACCAGAAAAGTGTGGATACATTTGTGGTGACATTAGACACAATAAATGATTATACGATCCAAATTTAAAGCCTAACCCGTTTTCAATGCTGATAAATATATGAAAATCTGTTGTCTGGTTTGCATTTACTAACCTTATGTATACAGGAAAAGAGAAAATGAGAGAGAGAGAGAGGAAGAAAAAGACAAGGAAAAATGGTTGGGAGAAAAAGAAAGAAAGAAGGAAGGAAAAAGAAAAGGCTAAACTAAAAACGGGCACATTTATAAGAGAAATGATGTGTACTCAAGGACAATTTGAAAAAGCATGTAATTTTCCCCAACAGATACAAATTTAACATTAGTTAGGTATATGTCATGCGTGATACACGCTTAGGCGACCATATATCTTCGATACGTGACTGACGATGCAGATGTTTCCCTCAATATGTTGCCATTTCTTTCTACGGTAGACCAATTTCCTTCCAATGCTATAGAAGCCGGTCTTTTCTGCTATTTACCCATAGCTGGGGGTGGGGGAGAAGAAGAGGATTCATAAATTTCCCAAGGGTATTAGCACGTAAGTGAATGTAATGGATTCGACTGGAATTCGAACTCGGCTCTCCGATTCCTCAATCCATGCCTAAATATGAGAATGGTAAAGCCAGCTATAATATGGGCTATTTGGGAGGAGTGAAGACGAAAGAATAATAAGTATTTCTAGAAGGATAGTAGGGTAGGGACTCTTTGTAGATCCATCTATTAATTTTGTCTTGGCTAAAGTAAAAATAAAAAAAGTCATACACTCTTAAGAACCCAGGAATAAAATGGAAATGTTCATTTCCAGCCAAGCAATCTTCCATAAAAAATGGTCAGTAGACCAAGATTTTCATCTTTTTTCCTTCACTGAGTACTGCTCAAAAGCATGCCACTTGGAATTTGCTCAGTGCTACCTTTTATGTGTGTCCAGTCCTGACTTACTTCTAATTATCGATCCCGCTGATATCGATATGCTGGATAAATAAAACCAAGATTTCTTTTGCCTGTCAGAAGAACTCTGTCGACGCCTTTTTGCATTCTCCGTCTTCTTGTAGTATTAGATTAATTCAAACCCCATTCTTGACATAACTCCAATGTGAGACGGCTAACAAAACAAACCTTCTTCAATATATGTTTTTAATCAATACAAACAAAATATATCAGATCTGGGATATGGGCTTTCATCAAAGCTTCTGTTTATCCTGGCTTGACTTTAAGTCATATATATGTTTGTGTGCGCGTGTGTGTGATAGAGAGAGGGAGAGTGTGTGTATGTAATAGATAGACAGTGTGTGATAGAGAGAAAGACAGAGAAGAGAAAGAGAAAATGAGTGTGTGTGGGTGTGGGTGTGGGTGTGTGGGTGTGTATGCGTGTGTGGGTGTGTATGTGTATGCGGGTGTGTAACTGAAGGAGAATGAAGTGGACGTTCTGTTTATCGCGGCTTGACAGATTTGTTTGTGTTATATTTTGAATTAATATATATGTGTATATAAGAGAGAGAGAAAGAGAGTGTGTGTGTAAGAGAGTGTGTGTATGTGAGAGAGAGAATATGTGTGTTTTGTGTGTGAGTAAGAGAGAGAGAGATAGTCTGTGTGTGTGTGATGCAGAGAATATTTGTCGATGAAAGATTGTGTGTGTATGAGAGAGAGAGTGTATGCGTGCGTATACGTGTGTGGGGGATAGTGAAAGAAAGAATGGGAATTTGTGTGTGTGTTTGTGTGCTTCTGTTGGAGAGATAAAGTGAATATATGTATGTATGCGTGTGTGTGCCTGTTTTGCGGGTGCAGGGTGAAGTTTACCAAACAAATGTGGTGAGATCGATCCTATTTACCTGCTTAAGACTACCGCCATATTAGATTCTAAATAGACATAAAGAACTGGACAGATGAAATATGTGTCACGTCATATTCTAAGTGGTCTGTCTGTCTGCCTTGTAAATGAGCGTTCAGATCTTAACTTTTAGTTTGATTACAACACGGGCGTTAGAAAACTCCTAACTCTATCGGTCTCCACCAAAGCCTAATTGTCAGCGATCATGTGTAACTATCTTAACTATATACATTTGAGTAGATTACCGACTTCATTTACCCGTTGTTTTCCATATCTCACCACACACTTAATATATATATGGTACTCAATAATAAATAAAGTCCATCATTTATTTTATACCAGTTTTCTTTCTCTTTATATATATATATATATATATATATATATATATATATATAGATAGATAGATAGATAGATAATATGAGAGGTCAATATCTATATATATATATATATATATATATATATATATATATATATATATAAAAAAGACATTTTAATGTTTATACATTCTTTTTATAGATACAAATATTTAAGTAAATGCTCTGTTTATAATAAATAGTATTAAACAACATTTACCGGCCTGAATGTCCGAGAAATTTTACGACATATAGGATACAGGTTCGATTCCTGTCGGAGGACGCATATTAAGATTGGTAAGAGCCGAGTTCGAATTCCAGTCAAATCCATTACATTCACTTACGTGCTAATACAATTGGGAAAGTTATGAATCCACTTCTTCTCTACCTAGCTATGGGCAAATAGCAGAACAGGTCGGGTTCTATAGCCTTGAATGGTACCTTGTCTACCGCAGAAAGAAATGGCAACCTACTGCGGGAAAAATTCTGCCTCGTCAGTCATGTATCGAAAGATACATGATCGCCTAAGCGTGTCTCATGCATGGTACTGACTCTCTCTAAGTTAACAAGTTCAATAACCATTGTGTTGTGAGTTGTCTTCGTTTACTTTTCAGTGATTCACTTCTTTGCTACAAATGTTTATTTTCTCTTTCTTCATTGCAAATATATACAACTTACAGGGAGTTTATACTCTTTGTACTCCTTAAAAGGTAAGACACTGTGAAGAATAGTTGTTTCAATTTTAAATAATATATTTCGAAAAACGGCACTCTTTTCTTCGTTATCAACAGTCTCTGTTGTCAGGAATGTTCCCGACAGGGAGATACCTTCTTCCTTTTCTCCTTTGTATACCTCTTCAATTGTTTGAAATTTCCTTGTGAGTCGGCCATATTTATGCATCTCTTTCGATCGCTGCTTCTCGGGAACAATGCCATTACAATTGATTGTAGAGTCAATGGCAAATAAGTCTCCCGCCATCTGTTGGAGCTTCTTCTTATGCTAAAAATCTCCAATCGATTTGTACGGAACGCCGACATCTGTTACTTTAAACAAGCTTGTTTAGTGACTGTCTTTGTTTGCTGTTATTCTAACCGACCAAATAAGCAGAAAAATATTGGATACATATCAAAGAACACGTAAGAGTCGATCGCTAACCCAAAGGAAAAACTCCTTATGCCATTTAGAGATCGATATTTTAATAATGACAGTAATAATAAGGCGTCCAGAAGCGTTGGATCGACTTCGAGATTGAAAACTATGAGTTCTTAAAAACACAGCACGTACATAAAACACTGACAAAATTCATTTGCATAGAAAAAGAAACACAGAGACAAAGTGAGATAAAGAAGGACGAACGTTGTAAAGGTAGAAAAAAAAAGTGAAATACAAAGAAAAGTGTGATAGAATATGAGGAAAACAGCAAAAGAAAAGCTGAGTGCTGACAAAAAGAATGTAAACAAAAAAGGTTACATTTCGAACAAACTGTGAATTAAATATTACAAGAGAATCCCGACAACACAATACGATGAGGAACACAAGTAAAAACTATTGATCAAGCCTCGTTTTCAATGTTTTCATCTTGATTTTTTTTATCCATTTGCTCAAACTTCTCAAGTAAATTGCTTGCTACTTTAAACTGATTCTTTTTTTCTTTTGGCTTTTGATTTGCCTCCAAGCATTCTTCTTCCCATAATGTCTCCTGCAAATTTCATCTCTCTTTAGTTGTTAACAAAAGTTCCTTTGTAATTTCTATTCTCCCCGAAACTCCGTCAAAGGTACAAAACAAATAAATCTCCTTTACGTAAGAGACAAAATACAAAAGGAACGTCATTCATAAATATTAAATTTAGATGTTATAATAACAAACGCGATAAAGAATTCTTGCTGAAAAATGATGCTAAACCAGAAGACAAATGTTTTTGAATCAGTTTCTTGACAAACATTTCAATATTCCTGACTTTTACTCGACTGAGATTTCCGACTTATACTGTCACGTGATCGATAACAATTTTGTCGCGTTTAGCCAATTTGCATTTGAACTGATTCTCAGTCGTTGCTTACAGCCCATGGCCTTCTGCCACAAAAAGAATACTTCTCCGAGATCTGAAGAATGAAGTTTTCCAGAAACTAAGTAAAAATGAAGACACTGTGTCTACACTAGCCTGCCCCGTCATCATCCATCCAATTCCAGGTAGGTTTAAGACCTGTCACTCCAGAAGCACCTCCACTTATGTTTTCATATCTTAAGTAGCAAGTTTTTTTATCCATCAACGGAGTGCTAAGTCTGTCAGATAGTTAACAACATCTGCTATTACCCGGCAGTAATTCATCTGAGTACTGACCATGCTCAACTTTGCTTAACTTTGATGTGCGGACGAGAAGCGTCGTTTCAAGGTGAGGAGCCAGCCAAGAAAAGAAGCCCTCAAAAGTAAGTGACATTTGTATTTCATTTTGTATCACATTTCAGATCGGCCTTATTCAGTCGTCTCCTAGCGTTCTACAAAATACGACTAACCACTTGCCCAATTCCGGGAGTGGCAAGTTTCCAGACGCACCCCCAGATATTGAGATCTTCTGTTATATGAGTAGCGAGATTCTTATACGACACTCGATATTCCTCAGCGGTTACCCATCTGAATACTGGCACAACTTTGAATAACTTCAGTGATTGAACCGATGTATGCTCTATCCTAACCTAAAACTGAAATTACAATGTGTAGGCTACCAAGATCAAGAACCCCTGCTTTTATCAAGAGAAATGGGACGAGCAATAATAGAACCGTACTAAAAAAAGATTCTCTTTTTCTTTTTATGTGCCATGTCTTTTCAGGACGTAGGCGATCATAGCTCTCCACCTCGCTCTATCCCTTGCAGCTCTCAGCAAACTCCTTTCTCTGCTTCCTCCCCCAGATAACGTTCTGTCATCCACCTGCTCAAGCTCGACAGGTATGTAACGCGCTGCTTACCCTTGTCTCTCTTTCCCTCCATTTGACCCGTGAGTTTCAGATTCCTCAGGCCCTCGTTACTCATTATGTGTCCTAGAAACTTCAGCTGTATAAGCCTTCTCCTTGTTTGCATCCACTCAAAAAACCTCATCGTTGCTCACATGCTCGGTCCATGATACCCTTAGCATCCTTCTGTAAAACCATATCTACGCACGTCGAGTCTCTTCCTTATCCTTGATGAAATCGTCCAACATTCGCTACCGTAAAGAAGGAAAGATGCCACGTAACAGCTCAGTGTTCTTTTCTCTGTTACCAAAGAAATCCTGCTGTCTCGCAATAATCTGCTAAGCTTTTGGAATGTATCCTTGGCCATCCCAATACGTCTACGGATCTCAGCGTAGTACTTACCGTCTTCTGTGAACAATGTACTCTCGTAGATAAGATAAAATGTGCAGTTTGATATTTCCGGAAGAAGGCCTGGTGGGGAGGACACAACAACCCAATATTTGTGATAATAACACCAAAGATGATAACATTAGCCTTAATCTAAATAATGATAAATCCGCATTCTAGAAATTAAATATAACTAAATAACTAAAATACGTATAAGTAAATATGTGGCACCCATCGGTCTCGAATGGATATGCGCCCAAAGAGCTGTGCTTTCAGCTGTTGATGGTGGCAAAGCATGTGTTATGGCTGTACAGGCCCAGACAAGAGTGACAGTCTCGATTACAATGAAGATGCTCTCCTCCGATATCGCCGTGTTTTCTTTCCTTCGAGTCCCAGCGGCAACACACACACACACACACACACACACACACACATATATATATATATATATATATATATATATATATATATATATATATATATATATATATATATAAATGAACATTGAAGTCAACACTCAAAGCGACAGACTCGTGACCTGACGATTGCGACTAGCATGAAACAGCTTGTCGCCTCTGAGTGTTGACTTCAATGTTCACTTTTTATATTTACACACGCTATATCTCTGATATTGAGCACTTTATCCCATAAATATAGCACACCTTAAGACTATATTTCTTCATATATATATATATATATATATATATATATATATATATAAACATTTTTTTTAATCGCATTACAACCAAAAACGTTTGCGCTTTCTCTCTTCTTTTTAATAGATACACTTTTCTCTCGTTGGGACAACTATAACCTCTTCCGTATATATATATATATATATATATATATATATATATATATATATATATATATACTGGTTGCCACCCAAAGTTGCAAGACGGTCCCGCTATTCAACTCATAGCTGGGCGTGGGCCGAAAGGAAATTGATTCATAGCTTTCTCAATCGTAATTGAATGTGACGAAACTGACTGGTATTCGAACCCAACTCAATATGAAGAGAGCGTATGTAAATATAAAACTGAGCACTGAGATCACGCTGTCACTGACGTCAGTGTCAACTTATATATATATATATATATATATATATATATATATATATATATATATATATATATATATATACGTTAAGTAAATATGTTCCACATGAACAGATTCTTCTTACCGATGAAATACGTAGGGAATATGAGTGGTTTACTAACATGTAAGTAGAATGACGTGAAGGTTTCACTTAGCGGGATCAGGGAATATAATTCGTCCGATTGCTTTACGTGCAAGAAGCGTTAGAACAGCGAAAGGCTTGCCACATCCTGCCTATGGGAGAGAAGTTGAAGGGTGGAAAATAATTCGTCACCCACAAGGACTCGGTGTGGTTTTTGGCCTCTCGTTCGTGGATTTTGTGATTTTCTATCAATTTTGACAGGCTGGACGTTAAAATCACATTAGTTTTTCTACACCATGAAAAATATTCATTAAAAATTTGAAAGAAAGAATTGTTTTCGTAATAATAGAATAAATGTATCAAAATACTTTATAATTCTATAACATTTAATATAACAAGTAAAGAATAATGTTACAAACGTATGTTATCATGGCTCTCCACAACGTCATGCCACTTGTAGCTCTTAATAAATTTTGTCTTTCTATATTTCTCCTAAACGCTGTTCAGACATCTTTTTTACTCAAGCACAGTAAATATATTATGCGTTGTCACGCGTTGTCCTTCTTGCTCTCTATCTATCCTTTGAGTATCAAATTTTCCAAGACCTCTTTCCTCATTATCTGCTCCAGAAACCTCAAGTTTCTCTTCCTGAGGTTAAATATTAGTTTCCTTTTTGTTTCCATTTTCTCTAAAACTTCATCTTTACCCCCAAGTTCGGTCCACGTTATCCTCATCATCCTGCTGTAGAACCACATTTCTGTCGCTTCAAGTCTCTTCTTCATCTTTGAGGAGATGGTTCAGCACTCTCTGCCATACAAGATGACAGATATCACATATCAGTTTAAAGTATTATTTTCCTTGTTTCTAGCGAAACTTTCCGTTTTCTTTAGTACTCTGCTTAGCTTTTGAAATACTTCCTTGGCTATCCCACTATCACTGCTTTTTCTCATGTCCTTTGATATCGCTTCTTCATTATAGCGACTGCTATGCTTTTCCACGCTCACAATTTATTCGTCTGCGATTGGCTAGTAAATCAATACTGGCTTTCTATAAGACAATTTAGCAATCGCAGTCATCATTTTGAATTTTTTTGTCGTGAACTTGCTCACATGTTTCTTTGATACAAAATCTGTAATTGGGCAAATTTTAACCAATCAAACATTTTAGTACTAAATCAATTTTTCCCGCGTTTTCGGTGGGAGCCTATCGGTAGCTTTAAAAGAAGCAATTTTTTCCACAAGCCGTCAGTAGTGTCTAGCTATTTTTGCCTGTCCACACAAATTTACGACTTTACTCACAACATTTCATACGCACACATAGACACAAATTTTAGTAACACATTATACATATCTCTCTCTGTGACTCAGCCAAGTTCATGAACCAGAACTCTTTTAATTTCTCAAAACAACACATTTCTAAATTAACTGTATTCTATTCTAACAGCAAACTCTATTCAACAT